AAGAGTTGACCATTCAAATTAAGCCTATGAAACTATAATGTGATAACCAAGTGGCCCTTCACATTGCATCAAATCCGATCTTCCATCAACGAACAGAGCACATTGAATTGGATTGTCACTTTATTTGTAATTGGATGCAATCACGTGCAATCACTCTTTCTCATATTCCCTTCAAATCTCAACTTGCAGATATATTCACAAAGGCTTTAGGAGGAGACCAATTTCAACTTCTTCTTCACAAGTTGGGCATTTCAAATTTGCATGCTCCAACTTGAAGGGGGGGGTGTTGGATTTCATGTAAATGGATTTATTTCATTAGTTGTCCAATGATCAAGGCTTATCCCTTGAATCATGCCAACAACATTTCTTTCCTTTATTTCTTTTATCATTGCCAACGGTCATCTTCTCCCTTTCCTTTTATGTTTTGCTTGTCGTTAGCATACTCTTCTATATAAACTTGTATTCCATTCATTGAATAGATAGAAAGATATGTTATTTTTTCAAAGAAATAATAGGATGGGAAGAAGAAGAGGAAGGAAATCAAACAACTACTACTGCAATATTCACTTGCCCAAAACTAAGGATATTGGACTTGTATAAGTTACCAAAACTGAAGAGAATCTACCTAGAAAAAGGAGTAATGGTTTGTGATTCTCTCAATTCCATTACCATGTAAGGTTGTTCGAAGGTAAAGAGGATTCCCTTTTGTCTTGGAAGAGAAAACAAGCAACCATCTCTTCCTGTCGTCAAAGATATCTTTATTTTCAATCCAACAAAATGGTGGGAATCGGTTAGTGGGAGAATCCTAACTATGAGAATATCCTCCTACCTTTGCTCCAATATTATGATGTTTTGTAAGTCTCATTATACTTGCATTCGATTCTTTCTCTGATATTTCATAAATAAATGTTTCTATCTCTTTTTTAACTCTCTTTTGTTCCTAAATAAATCTAATTCTTTGTACTAATCTTATTTAGTGTTAAGGGTTAATCTTGGTTGATTTGCTCAATTTTCTAATCTTGATTTGCTCTTAAGATGTTTATCTCCCTTAATTGGATGTTAATTCCTTTTTAATTACTCATAGTGGTAGCACTTGGGCACACATTTCTTATCGGTTTGTCATATTCTATAGAAGGAAGCAATTGTTTTTGGTTTTTTTAATGAGTCTAAATGTCAGCTATTGATAACAAGTTATATACATGTTGTGAGATTCTTTTATACTGCTTCTTTGAAGTTAAGTTAGCCATCCGAGGAGCCCTCAATTCATATTATGGTTCTTATTTGTTTATCCAAATATTGAGACTATGTTTTCTCCTTATCATGCATTTTATTGGACTTGAACCCATTTGTGTTGATAATAAGAGATATAAATGTTGTAGGGCTCTTTAATACTGCTTTGAAGCTCGGTTGGCCATCTGAGCAACCCCTTCGCATCTGGCTCAATGGAGGTTATGTGAGTGGATGTATTAGTTGGTATAATTGGCTTTCTCATTTTTCTAGTACTTTGAGTACGATTATCCCTTAGCAGTTCTTCAATGGGAGAGTTGAGTCATCAGAGAGTTGAAAAGAATGAGTTTGCTTCATTTCAGTAAATATACCTAGAATTGGAGTACTATCATTGATACATACATGATAGTGTTCTCTAAAACATTGTTCTATCATGCATGTCACTAACTACCAAAACCTACAAAGCTACTCTATGACTAAAACAAGGACATAAATAAATATCCATTAATTAATCTCAAAGGTTTGTGTTGCAACAATCATTGAAATTAGTTTGCACATTTTTATGTTTCTCATTTAAGGCATACATGTACATAATGAGATTTGATGATATATATGTTACGGGTGGGTCATCCACAAACCATTGATTATTTTGATAACATTGGTTTGCTAGAATTAGCTTTGGACGCATTCTGTATGCCATACTACAGTAAACCAACTCTAGCTCAAAGCCAAACAAGTGTGTGCTTTCAAATTTGCTAATTGGCCTAAAGAGTACAACAATGCCATGACCAATCATTGATTATAATGGATTTATAGCTTGTCATCCTAAATGTCTCATTATTAGCACATCTTCATTTGCCATCTCAGTGGCCAAGGTGTTGAGTTGCTTTGGAAGGTGAGTATCATTTATCAACATATACATAGTAGCGCTACTTCTCTAGAACTGAGTTCTCCAAAGATCAATTATGATTTATTTTTGAAAACTAACTATAAAGTTCCATTTTGCTTGTAAAATGTTATTATGGATTGAGAAGGATGAGCTTCACAAGAATCCTTGGAGGTTTTGATCCCTGTCACTCTATACACACAAAACAACTTTTTAGCAGGGTAGTTGTTCAATCCCTATGCAAACATTAGATATGGAAAATGGAAGATCTGCAAGTAAGAGTGGCAATTTGAATTTTCATATGGTACATTGTTGTTCTTGTTTCTTTTCTCTTCATACTTTGCATGTTTTTCTTTTACAGTGATTCCATCTTGATGCCATACAATTAAAATGTTTCTTCAATCCTTCATATCTACAATTAGCTCATCAAAGGTGTTTTCAAGATATGGATTTATAGTTACATATTTAAACTTTTATACTCCATTGCTTTTTGCACTCATCTAATGTTTCCCTGCTTAAATCAGGGAGACCTTGGACATACTAAATTATCACTAAACATTAAGTTTTTTTTTCCTTCTTGTGTCATAATGGGATGGTTGTTGTGACTAGGCCAAGATAGAGGGTCAAGTTAGCAGACTTAAGCATCTTCAGGCTTGCATTAGGACTTAATTGGGAGGCACATGCTGTCATTTCGTTAAGTTGCCACTACATAATGGATTGAACATTAAAAAATTGTTGATAACATTTTGTGTTGTTCAATTAAGAGGCTTAAATGCTGCTGTTAAAAGTAAAACCGCCATTGTTTTGATGTCATCCGATCCTTTTTATTGCCTCATCATACTGGTGAGGATTACCTAACATGCTTACATGCACCAATGATACGTTGCCAAATTTTTGGATGAACCAGGCAGGAAAGGATTGGTTGTCCTAATGCTGGGACAAGGGAGATATTGCTTGGGCTATTACTGAATTATTTTATTATTACTTTCAAGCTTATAATTGTTGATATTAGTTTTGTTTAAACTGTTGCTTTGATTGCGTAGGCCTTGTGACTTGTGAGTTTTAAGATTCATGTTTGTGTAGATTAATTAAGGTTTTTTAACATATGATTTAAAAGTTATAAGTTTATGTGTAATAATTATATTTTTTTATTATAAATTT